AGAGAGAGAGAGAGAGAGAGAGAGAGAGAGAGAGAGAGATGAGCGATACAAGTTTGGTTGTCACTTACCTGTGAAGCGTGCCGTGCAGTCCCACGAAGTGAGAGGCGGCCATAGCCGCGGAGCTTGACCACGGAGTAACGAAGAGGGGGAGAGAGAAGACGGAGGAGGAGACTGAGAAGGGAGAGAGAAGCCATAGCCGAATAGGAGAAGTGAGGGAGACGATCAAAAACAAAACAAAAAAAAAGAGATAGAAGATAGTCGGGGTCAACAGAAGGGAGGCGAGGTAGGCAGAAAGGAAGGAGAAGGGTGGTGACGAAAGTGAAGCCGGCAGCCATAGCCGATCGGAGGAGTTGACCAGGAGAGTTGACCAGGCGTTGACCGGGGTTGACCGGGAGTTGACCGGAGGTGTTGATCGGGGTTGACTGTAGCGTTGACTGAGCGTTCACCAAGGCGTTGACCAAGACCGTTGACCACGAGTTTGACCAAGATGGAGCCGGTATATTCTCGCCAAGCCTTCAGCCTATCCCCTCGCCCTGTGGATGTGCACACACCCTGTGGTACTTGCTGAGTCAAGTCTGTTTGTCTCTTCTTTCTGGATTGAGTCTCTTCTATCCAGGTGTAGGAACTCAATGGATGAAGGATAGGGCCTCGTTGACCAAACCCCTGCCGCACTAAGTAGGGCTAAAGACTGTGTCTGACGACTCGACTGTCCCGGAGGAAACGAACCCTCCCAAGGACYGGTACAGACCGGCGRGSTGCTYGGTGTGGCACGGTAGGCCCGAAAAGCTGAGYTGTGGGCTGCACAACARGCAGTCTCCAAGTGTTGAGAGACTTGCTGATCGCGTCGTCCTGTCTACGACGTTAAAGAATTCCTGAGGAGTTACGGGGGATCTCCTTAAATGCCTCCTGATCAGCAACAGCGCTAGTAGTGACAACCTTAGAATAGGTCCAGGCTAGTGACCATAGTTGACAGGATCCTATCCGGATTCTGTAAGTCTTAGATTAAGTCAGTAGGTGAGTCAGTCAAGGGGAGTAAAGTCTACGTGGTGAGGAGTGGAACTGCTTGTCTGGTTGTGCACCTTCCACCATGGTTGACACCCGTACAAGGAAGAGTACTGCCCCCTCCGAGGCCGAGCAGGCCCGGATTGCTGCCCTTTTTAGAGAGAAGAGAGAAAAGAAGGAGCTCTTGAAGCAGGCAAAACTAAAGGCCATTGAGGAGGAGGAGGAGGCGCAGAAGAAAAGATTGGAGGAGGAGATGATGAGATTTCAAAAGGAGAAGTTTATGTTGATAGAGAGAGAGGAGGAAAGGAGGAAGGCTGCAGAGGAAGAAGCAGCAAGAGAGGTGGAAGAAGAAAAAGAAGTAGTCCTCGAGAGAAGACGCGGAGAGGAAAGAGGCGAAGTCAGTGGCACGAAGGAGGATGACAGATGGAGGGAAAAGAAGATCAACGAATGGGTGGCTAATTTATCTTTGGGAGAAGATGAAGAAGCAGAGTTGTATGTACCATAGGAGGAGAGAGAGGCGTTTTGCCAGGGCACTCGAGGTGATAGAAGACCCTGTGGAACGCCATGAGACAGAAGATGAAAAGAAGTTGGAGTGGAAGTGAGGGAGAAGAAGAGAAGGAGGGAGGAAGCCAGTAGAATAGCCGAGGAGGTTGAGCGTGTACGAACCGGCAGGCAAGAATTACAGGCCCAGACAAAAGTTTCTGCCAAGTTGGATAAGGTGATGGGCTTCCTAGAAATTTTGAGTGAGGCTTGCCTGGAAGAGCACCAGGCCCGTAAGGGCCAAGATGTGACTTTGCAAGCGATGCGATCTGGGTTTAGGGAGTTTGCGAGTGACGTGGTGGGCCACGTCGGGGCTGAGATTAGAAGACTGAAAGTGGCGTACACAAGTTCTGCGCTGGCGCTATTGATACTGCCAAGATTGTGGCCTCAACAGAGGCCACGGCTCGCCCCCGCAAAGAGCCAGTCAAGTTGAAGTTCCCTGACCCATATAGCAGGAAGAAGGAAGATAATTTTCAATAACTGGGAGGCCAGTATAAACACTTATATTTTCTTTCAGCATATTGCCCCTGAGGAGCAAGTCCTCGTTGCCTTCCACGCCTTGAAAGACAAAGCAGCCAGCTTCGCCAGATCTCTCGCACGTGCCGCAGATTGCGAGCACAACATGATCGCATATTATAGACTTACCACCCTCGCTACTTTCCTCAGACTCCTGCGCGAGAGGTTTGCTAACGTCACTAGAGAAATCAGGGCCTCCGATAAGCTACAAACCATCCATTCACGGCAGCGGAGGAGTGCGAGAGCACTCAAAGCTGCCATGGACGACTTGGTAGCCGTCCCGGGCCGCGGGGTCACTGAGACCCAGTTGGTCCAATTGTTTTATCGTGCCATACCAGAGCCCTTGAGAGGGTACTTTTTTGACAAGAGTCAACCGCCCACCATGACATATGATGTGTTGAGTAGAGAGGTGGTGCTGTATGAGGCGAAGTCTATGCCAGTTACCACTTTCTGGCATAAGGACTTGGACAAGGGTAAAAAGTGGAAGGGTCGTACCATCTCCTACCAGGTTAGGGCTAAGCATCACATGATCCTTACATTGGAAGAAGGTGGTACTGACGAGGTCCCCTACAGTCAGATCGATTGGGGCCTCGAGGAGGACAGTAGCGTGGGACATGGGAGGTCCTATGCTGCTGTCGCGGCTGGAGGGAGGCCGCAAGGTAGAGGAGGGCCAAAGGGGCGAGGTCATGGGAGACCGAGGATCGGGCGCACAGGGGGTTGGCGGTCAAGGGAACCGTCAAGCGGGAGGTAGGGGTCAAGGTCCCCCGCCGAATCGTCAAGGTCCCAGTCGGTCCCCACAGAGACGAGGTGGCAGATCACCTCAAAGGTCAGGAGATTGGCACCCAGGTTGGCCGCAAAGCCGGCCCTGGGAGGATCTGGGTCTGGACCAGAATGTATGGCAACAGCGGATGGAGCAGGGGCAGTGCATTTATTGCGGTGACCCTGCCCACATCATAAAATATTGTCCCAAGTATAGACAGGCCCGTGGGGCTGCCCAACAGTCAAAAGGCAGCCGCCAGTAGGGGTCGCAACTGCCCCTACTCTTAGGCCATGTGGGGAAGCGAGTGCGCGCGTAGAGGAAACTCCCACACCACATGAGCCTTCGACAGAGGTTGCAGGCCCGTGCCTAGTTAGTTGTCCAAAGACCACGTGTCAACGTCTCTCTAGGCAAGTCCCTCACAGGCGTGGCAAAAGAATCAAAGGAGAGGATGCCTGTGATGGCGAAGATGAAGAAAGATAACAAGCAGCTAGTCCTAGTAGATGCAGAAGTTTTCAGGAGTAGAGTTGGAGCCCTTATAGATTCAGGGGCTACCCGTAGCTATATTAGCCGTAGGGCGCTGAAGAAGCTGAGGCTAGGTTTGAAAGTGCAGAAATTGGAAGACCCCACAGTTAGTGTCC